TCAGTGTAAGCACTAAGGTAACCTGACCCAAGCCATGGTATTTTCAATCATCTGATTGAATTGCATATGAAAGTTGGACAATGAATAAAGAAGACCAGACAAGAATCAATGCATTTGAATTATGGTATTAGTGAAGAATATTGAAAGTACCATGGACTTCCAGAAGAACAAACAAATGTGTCTTGGAAGAACTACAGCCAGAATGCTCCTTAGAAGTGAGAATAGTGAGACTTTTTCTCTTGTACTCTGGAAATGGTATTAACTCCAGGAGAGGGCTCCAGGAAGGACCAATCCCTGGAGATGGACATTATACTTGGTAAAATGAAGGCAGTAAAAAAGAGGAAGACCCTCAGGAGATGGACTGACACGGTGGCAGCAACAATGGACTCAAACCTAGTAACAACTGTGAGGATGGTGCAGGACCAGGCAGTATTTCATTCTGTTGTGCATAGAGTAGCTATGAATCAGAATTAACTTGATGGCACATAACAACAACATATGCACTTATATTTGTCTTAGGGAAGTGTACTAAGGAGCTCTGGTAGCATAGTGGTTACGAGTCAGGCTGCGAACTGCAAGGTCAGCAGTTCGAAACTACCAGCTGCTCCGTGGGAGAAAAATGAGGCTTTCTACTCCCATAAAGATTTACAGCCTCGGAAACCCTGTTCAGGGTCGCTATGGGTCGGAACTGACTCAATGGCACTTAACAACAACTATTAATATGTAGTCTTCTCCTGCCTTAAGTCAATCACACCTGAAAAATCACACCAGAAATATCAAAGAAACCTTTTTGGAGATTGCACTCATTTCCTATACTGTTGTAACAAATCACCATAAATTCAGTGGTTTAAGACAACACAAATTTATTATCTCACAGTTTCTATTTGTCATACGTCCACATGGGCTTGAATCTATCCTCTGATTACAATTTCACAAGGTAGAAATCAAGGTTATTCCTTAATGCAATTTTCTTACCTGAAATAAACTTCCATGTTCTTTCAGATTGTTGTATCTGTAAGGCTGAGGTCCCTGTTTCTTTGCTGGCTATCTATAATCCTTTACATCCTTCCTGGTAATAAGTAGTGTCCCTCCCATGTTTTGAATCTCTCTGACAACCTCTTCTGCCCTCAACCAAGAGAAAACTGTGTTTAAAGGTTCATGTGACTCTTTTGAGTCCGTCTTGGTAATGCCATATAATCTTCTAATCTAAATGTCCTTAAATTTAATTACATCTGCAAAGTCTGCTATGCCATATAGCATAACGTAGTCACAAGGTCTTAGAATTAGGGTAATTTCTTCTACTATGGATAATTTTTTCAACAATGTTTTCTGTTTACTTATCCCTAAAAAATCTGCATTTAATGACTGTTGGACTATTTTTCTCTTTCTAGGACATTCACTTAGCCAGGAAATTTTATGACATGGCTGCTCAAACAAGTCCAGATGCCTACCTACCTGTCTTCTTGGCACTCATGAAACTGGAAACTATGCATTTCCTCCGAGATATGTTATTCGATGTAAGTTTTTTGATGTAAGTTTATCTCAAGTAGGCCTCAAATCTCTGAAAGCTTCTATGGGCAATTCTTAGGGACAGAGTGAAGAGGCCTCTCGGACAGTCTTTTGCAGATAAGTTTCCTTTAGTAAGTAGTATTCAAAGCCTTATACTTACCATATAGAGCAATTCTGCTTGTTATCTAAATATGTATTGATACTTCACAATATCATCAGTGAATGCATTCAGCAGATATATAGTTTTTTACTATGAACTGAGTGAATATTTACAGAGTAGATCATCAGGTTTACAGTCAACAAATCATACTTTGTTTCGTCTCAATGACTGCAATCCCCTCCATATAAGATTTATCCCGTCTTCACTGATTCTGTTTCCATTCCTCTTTCTTTTCCAACCCCTCTGAAGTAGTTCCTTGGGTAAATGATGCCCTTTTATGTCAAATGATTGTCTGTTCTGTTTGTTTGCATACTTTACTAGTGCTATTGTCCCTCTATATATCCATCTATACTTGGCTGAAAATCAAACCTCTTGGGTGAGTTCATTTCCAGACCTGAAGGGTGACTGAGGACTATAGTCATAGTTTCCATCAGTCACTATCTGACCAGCAAGCCTGGTCTTTTTTATGATTCTGAGTTTTGCTCCTTATTTTCTCTCACTTTATTCATGACCTTCTAATGTGATTGCTTTCAGAGCATTGGTAGTGGTAATTGAGCCCATCTATTTCTTCTGATCTCAGGGTCATAGAGACTCAGAAGATACTTTTAAAGCACCTACTATGTTCAA